TCACTGGGGGCGTAACTATGGGGTATATATTTTGTATCTGGAGAATGGAATCCCTCTCTCTGTTTTCTGATCACCATGTGAGCTGCTTCCCTTTGCCACACTCTTCTTCCATGATATTCTGTCTTCCCTTGAGCCCCAAGGAATGGAGCTGGCTTTCTGTGGACCAAGACCTCTGAAACTGTGAGGCCTTAAATAAACCTTTTCTCCTGTACAATTGTTCTGGCTGGGTCCTTTAGTCACAGCAGTGAAAAAGCTGAATAAAACAATAAGGGACTTAGGCATCTCAGGATATTGATATCTGCAGGAGGTCCTAGAACCAATCCCCCTAGATACTAAGGGAGACTGTAATTCTAAAATAGTCAAACTCATGAAAACAGTAGAATGGTGATCGTCAAGGACTGAGAGGAGGACAAAATAGGGAGTTGCTGTACAATAGGTATCTTACTCCATTTTCTGTTGTGATAACAAAATACCCAAGGCTGGAGAACATATAAACAAAAAAGGTTTATTCAGCTCACAGTTTTGGAGGCTTGAAATTCCAAGATCAGGTAGCACTATCAGTATGGTTTCTAGTGAGGGCCTCATGGCAGATGGCATCACAATTCTGAGTCCATGCAGAAGTGATCACATGTCGAGACAGGAAGCCAGAGGGATTCAGGGACCAGGCTTGATCTTTCATATCAACTTGTTCTTATGGGAACTGAGGTCCCTCAAGAACTACATTAACTTTCTGAGGATAGTACCCCCCAATGACCTAATTATCATTCACTAGGCCCCACCTTCTAAAGGTTCTACTATCTCAGTACTACCACACTGAGGACCCAGCTTCCAGCACATGAACCTTGGGGGGACACATTCAAACCATATCCAAATAATAGCAATGGAAATAGAGTTTCAGTTATACAAGATGAATAAGTTCTAAAAACCTGCTATACAACATTGTCCCTATAGTTAACAGTATTGTATGGAGCACTTAAAAATTTACAAAAAGGTAGATTTCAGTAGATTTCATTTTAAGTGTTCTTACCATAATAAAAATAAATAAAATGAATAAGGTACTGATACATCCTATAACATGGATGAACCTTGAAAATAATATGCTAAGTGAAAGAAGACAGTCATAAAAAGACCACATATTTTATTGTTGCATTATTATACAGTGTCTAAAATGTACAAAACTTATAGACAGGAAGTAAATTAGTGGTTGTCTGTGGCTGGTCTGAAGGTGAAAATACTAAAACCCACTAAACTGCAGCTTTAAATGGGTAAATTTTATGATAGGTGAATGATATCAGTAAGGTTGTTTGGGGAAAAACATCATTTAGCCAGTAAGAGGTCACGCTGGGTTTCAAACTCAGTATGTGGCATGAGATAAGTACTCTATAAATGTTTGTTAAATGAATAAATGAATAAACAAACACCTTTTACTCCCAAATAAAAATGTTCAACTGAACTGGGGTTGTGGCTCAGTGGTATAGTGATTGCCTAGCACGTGTGAGGCCCCGAATTTGATCCTCAGCACCACATAAAAATAAATAAAACATTCTGTACATATACAACTAAAAATATTTTTAAATGCTCAAGTTATTTTCATTAACATTAGCAACAAGATAGCAATACCCTCTATCAAGTATTACTCAACATTGTTCTGAAAGCTATAGCTAATGCAATAGAAGATAAGATGATCAGAATAGATATTTGAAAGGAAGAGTATCATTTTTAATTTGATGTGATATGTTATCTAGGAAAATTAAGACAGTATTAAAAAGCAACTACATCTCATATAAGAATTTGATAACTAGATTGGATAAGAAAATTACAAAAGTCAACAGACTTTATGGAAATAGAAAAAAATATGCTATTCACAATGATGACAAATACAAAGGTAAAATATCTAAGAATAAACATTTTTTTAAAACATGCTAGGAAATTCACAATATCCAAATTATGGAATAAATCCAGATGCCCATCAACAGATGAAAGGATTAAGAAAATGTGGTATATATACACAATGGAGTTTTACTCACCACAAAAAATGAATGAAATGATGGCATTTGCTGGTAAATGGATGGAACTGAGTAACACCATGCTAAGTGAAATAAGTCAGACTCAGATAATTGAGGGTCAAATGTTTTCTCTCATATGTGGAAGCTAGAGAAAAATAATGGAAAGAAGGTGGTTGGGGAGGGGATCGTATACCATAAAGATATAGGGAAAAACAGTAGAGTAGAAGGAAAGTGAGAGTGAGGGGGCAAAGAAGGGAAAGGGAAAGATAAATGGAATGAATTTTACAATATATCATGTTATATTTGTATATAAAGATACCAAAGGGAATTTAAACTTTATGTATATGTAGAAAAAAGGAAGTTTAATAGAGTAGAAGAGGAAGAATAGGGGAAGGGAGGAGGGAGGAAAAGGGGGGTGGGGCTTGAAATCAAATTCCTTGCATTGTAATTTTGTCAAAATGAACCAAATTACTATGGATAATTATGATATGCTCTAATAAAAAACAAATAAATAAAAAATGATTGACTCACAGTAAAAAAAGGTGCTAAACCTATTAAAAAACTACAAAATATTATAGTTTCAATTACTATTTTTGAAACTAGATTAAATAGTTTTAACATTCTTACAAAAGAATAATTGCTCAAGAATATTAAAGAAAACAACAAAAGCCAGGTGTGGTGGTGTAAACCTATAATTCCAGTGATTTGAGAGGCTGATGCAGGAGGATTGCAAGTTCAAGGCCAGCCTCAGCAATTTAGTGAGGCTCTAAGCAATTTAAAAAGACCCTATTTCTTTTTTTTTAAGAGAGAGAGAGATAAATTTTTTTAATATTTATTTTTCAGTTTTTCGGCAGACACAATATCTTTGTTTGTATGTGGTGCTGAGGATGGAACCCGGGCCACATGCATGCCAGGTGAGCGCGCTACAGCTTGAGCCACATCCCCAGCCCCAACAAGACCCTATTTTAAAATCAAAAATAAAAAGGGCTGGAGATGTAGCTCAGTGATAAAAACCTCTAGGTTCAAAACCTCCAAACCAGCAACAACAACAAAAAATAAAACAACAAAAAAAGAACAGTGAAGAGGCTGGGGTTGTAGCACAGTGGTAGAGTGCTTGCTTAGCATGTGTGAGGCACCGGGTTTGACACTTAGCACCACATATAAATAAATAAACAAATAAATAGATAAATAAATAAATAAAACAAAGATAAAAAAATCTTAAAAAAAAGAACAGTGAAGAAAACTAGCATTATTTGACATCAAAACTATTTCCAAAGTCAAAATAATCTTTAAAAGGGAGTAAAAATACATATTTCAGAAGAACAAATTAGAGTTCAGAAATAAAACAATATAGCCAGGCAGGTTGGTGTATTCCTGTAATTCCAGTGACTCAGGAGGATGAGGCAGGAGGATCATAAGTTAGAGGCCAGCCTGGGAAATTTAGTGAGAACTTGCCTCAAAATAAAATAAAAAGGCCTGGGGATGTAGCTCAGTAGTAGACAGTATCCCTGGGTTCAATCCCAGTACCATTTGAAAAAAAAGTAAAAAAGAAAGAAATATATATTTAGGAATTTGTGTGACAGAAGTAACATTTTACTGGGTTAGAAAAGAGTATTCATTTAATGATTGGTGCTGGCAAACTGGTTATCCAAATTAAAAATACAAACTGATCTCACTTCCTGCACATACCAGAAAAAAATTTCAATTAGAATAAAGTTTAATTCTAAAAGTTAAAACAATAAAAATTTTAATAACTTTAGGCCATATATTTATTTAAGCATGAAATAAGAACTATTGGGCAAGACAAGAAACTCAGAACCTGAAAAGGAAAAACACAGATACATCTAATCAGATCAAGTTTAACATTTTTCTGATTATACCTGAGGATAACTTTCAAAAATCAAGATAAAGAGATAAAGAAATATACTTATCATAAATGGCAGAAGGTAAATACAACACAAATTAATAAGAAAGACAAATCACTTGAAGGAAATAAAAGCAAAAGATAGGAAAAAATTTAAACATATTTCAATATATTTAAGCAATAGTTGTCAGGAAATTGCATATCAAAGTAAACTAGATACCTTTGTGTTTGCCTCTCAGAATTGGGAAAATAAAAAAAGCAACAATGTTCAGTTTGAGAGCTGATCTTGAAATAAGCCCTTTCATAGATTTCTGGTGGGAATTCCAATTTTACAAAAGTTTTGGAAAATGATTTGGTGGTATGTTTTGAACTTAAAAGCATCGATCCCTGCACCTAAAACTCACTCAAATGACAGTCTCTGACTACAATTTTGAAACCAATGACAGTTTTGGGAAATCAAAATCTCATATCTAAATAACAGGGGTCAAAGAAGAAATCAAAACAAATTAGAAAACATTAGAAGTAAACTATGGTCGAAATGCTACATAGCAAAACTTGCACATATAGCTAAAGTGTTCTTAGAGAAAAATAAATGTAGCTCAGTAGCAGAGAGCACTATTAGTAGAGTTCATAAATGTAATGCTTATAATTATAAAAGAAAATGATTGAATAGTAATGAGTAAACATGCAATTAGAACAAAATTCCAAAGAAAAATAAGGAAGACAATGGCAAAAATTAATGACAAAGAAAGCAAAGATACAAAAGGGCAATCAAAGTCAAAGTAGGTTTTTGAAACAATCTCAACTCAGACATAAAGATCTGTCATTGACCCCTAGAAACTGAGGAGCTAATTCCATAGGCCCCCATTAAATAGTTCCAAATAAATATTCCCTTATCCCACAGAAACCTTAGCCACCCACCCAATAAACCCAATTCTATACCCCAATGATCTCTATCACTCAACCTGCAGAGATCCCCCATGGACTCCTCATCACTCACAGATCTCCCATAATTTACTAGAGACTCCTGCATCACTCACTCCAGGGTTCCCATCACTCATCCCACAAATCCCAGTCACTCACTCTCTGCACCTCCCCATAAGTGGCCTTAGAGAAGCCCCATCACTCACCCTACAGAGTACCATCATTGATACGAAATCCGGTCATCACAACCTTGTAATAATCTCATCTCGATGTTTAACTGGCCTTTAATCTGCCTGTTAAACTCCTGCACTCTTTAAGACCTGAAACTGTTTTGAGGGAGCCTTGAGTTTCTGGATTTGTTCTGCACATGCTCACTGTCAGCTTCGAAGCAGCCGCTGCTCCAGCGGCCCACAATTACACCCGGCGCACTTATACGTTATCGGTGCGTGAGTGTGCGTGAGTGTGCGTGAGTGTCAGAGGAGAGGCGGGCTTTCCAATTTTCTTCAGTGACTCTGTCAGGCAAGGAACATGGCTGTCCCCTTGGGATTGCCTCTATGGGGGCCTCCATCTTGGAAGGCTGGTCGTTTTGGCCACAGAGGCCGCGCTTTCCCACCCTATCTTTCCCAGTGCAATTTCTTGGGGGCCAAGGCGAAGGACCGTGGACTGTACCACCGGGCTTCTCTTCCCTCCGCCACAGCCTATAGGAGTTAGTTGTCTCAGAGACCGCTGCTGCAGGGCGCTTCACCTTAAGCCATCAGGGTACCAAAGCCTTGGTTGTCCCCCTACCCACCCACGGGAAGCCAGGGCTCCTTTAAGCGTCGCCTAGCACCACCACCTCCCCTCCCCTCCGCGGGCCGGGGAGCTGACCAGCCCCCCCCCCCACGCCCCCGCCAAACTTCTCTGAGGGACCCGGCAGCCTTTCCTCTGTGCCGGCTTCTACCGGGGTAACCAACCCTGGCACCCTTTCGAGCCCACCTGGTGGTGTCTGTGTCACAAACTGACTCCGGTCTCAGAAAGGGTCGGTTGGTTGCAGCGTCTCGGCTGTCACTACACCTGTACGGTTGCCTGAGGCGGGTGTGTGTGTGTTGGCGGAGGTGGGATGGGGAGGCGGGGGTGGGGGGGTGGGGGTGGGGTCGTACATGTCAGACTTAGGCCAGGAAGCGGAAGTCGCCGGCAGCCAGAGTTTAACCTCTGTGGGCACTGGGTGTTGTGATTCCGCGCCGGGAACTGTGGATCTGTGGAGGGAGCAAGGGGATGTGGGTGACATCCGTAGTGGTGTATCTTAGCTCGCTTTCAAACTCCTTTCTGATTTTCTTATACTGTCATGAACACTGAGTCTGAATTTTCTTCTGAGGATCCAATAACTCCCCACCCCCTTTTGATCCCTGAATTATTTAGAAGGCCACTGTCATAACTTGCAAAAATTCCCCCCAAAACAAATGCCGAATGTTTTCTCTGATATAAGGGGGGTGACTCAAAGGGAAGGAGAGCATGGGAGGAAGATTATTTCTAGATAGGGAAGAGGGGTGGGAGGGAAAGGGAGGGGGAAGGAGATTATCAAGGAGAGTGGAATGTGATGGTCATTATTATACAAAATACATGTATGAAGATTTGAATTTGGTGTCAACATAACTTATATGCAAACAGAAGTATGAAAAATTGTGGCATATATGTGTATTAAGAATTGTAATGCAAAAAAAGAGTATATGTATAATGCCATAATTTTGGCATGAACATACTTTATATAGAGTTACGAAAAATTGTGCTGTAAATGGGTAATAATGAGTGTAAGGCATTCCATTATTGTCATGTATGTAAAAAATAAATAAATATTTTTAAAAATAACTTGCAAAAATTCTCTGAGACTCAAAGGGTAGAGGAATGGGTGCTTTTTATATTGGGTGCCAGCGGTGTCCCCTGGAACGTGGGGGAATGAGCAGAGTTTTACAGAAAGGAAACAAAGACGACTGAGTGCTGGCTGCACCTTACCTGGGATTTGGTCCACTGGGGTAGAAATGCTGCCCAAAGGAGCCTTTCATGATTTGACCTTACTCATTCTGTTGTGCTTTTTTTCTCAGAATTGATGTCTCAAAGAAAGCATGTAGAGGGAGTGTAGAAAATGTTAGTTTCCTGACACAATTTCATTTTACCAAACAGAAAGTTGAGCCTTATGTCAGTGATTTCTAACCCAATTGCTTTGTGGCCTCAGAATGCTCTTTGAGTGATGTCAAGTCTGAAACTTGATGAAACTTGCCCAAAGTCTCAATTACCTGGCCAGTTTTCAAAACTTTCATATTTTGATTGAGAACACCATCTTCCAATTGTTGGGTTTAGTGTACTCTGTGTGTCTGTTGGTTAAAACTTGGTAGTTGGGGTGTATAAAATATGTATATCTTTCCTGATGATTTTCTTCTGCTTGTTAATCATGAGTTACAGAGAAGGGGGAAAGAGAATGAGAATTTTCCACTGTATTGTTGATGCCAGGTTTTCATTGTGCCAATCAATTTGTAACTTCTTATATTTTGAAGTTTTATTATTAAATGCTGGTAAAGGTACTGTGTTATTGTTAAATAGATATAGCCAAATTCCTTCCTCCAAAGGCTGCAATGTTTCCCAGTCCCACTGTTACAAATGTGAAACTCAAAAAGGGACCCAATGAACAGAGGACAAGTTGTTGGGGCAAGAAAGAAGATTTATTTGATAAGCCAGCAAAACTGAAAAATGGTAAAATAGCATCCTAAAATAACCATTTTAACTCAGCATAAATTTTGAACTCCTTTTATCCTCAGTTAAGGGAGAAAGGAGGGGGCTTAGGTTAGGGGAGACTTCTAGGCACTACTCTGTTGATCTTGAATGGGATGTTGTAAAACATGGAGATTGATATGCACATAATAACAAGTCTGTGATGGCCTTCCTTGAAAATATCTTCATTATCCTCATCTTGGTGTGATCAGTCTAGAGGGGGGAAGAAAGATTAGGGCAAGTTTCACATACATAAATTTTGTGCTGCCAGTTCCAGATAAACATTGCCTAAATGACTAACATGTCTGTGTGCAGATTTGAACAGAAACAGCCTGAATCCAAGTTTAAGGTAGCAAAAGAAACAGACATAATATGAAGGTTGAGATGCTACACAATTTTGACCCTGCTTTAGTCACCCATAAGATACCAGCACAGGCCCAAGTGGAGTCAGTACTTTTGAGAATAGTAGCCTTCAAATCCCTGAATAGTAATTTAAGCAACCATTATCATCATGACCCAAGTTTCAAAGGAATAATCTAAGCAAAACTGGTGGGAAACTAATAAAATATTGCTCAGCTGTGTGACCTCCAAATTAATGGTATTGTTTTTGCCCCACCCCCTTTAAGGCAGAGTCTCACTATGTTGCCCAGACTGGACTTGAACTCCTTTGGCTCAAGAAATTTTCCTGCCTCAGCCTCTTGAGTAGCTGGGACTACAGGTGTGTACCATCATGCACGGCCAAAATTGGCAATTTTTAAAGTCAACTAAAACAAGTGAAGTTAGAACATATGCTTAGATTTTCCTTCCATTTCCCTCCAGCACTGGATGTTGATGCTTTCTTTAATTTTTGCCATTTCGAGGGCTATTAATATTTAATCAATTTAATTTGCATTTTCTCACTACTTGTACAATTGCAAATCTTTTTTTTCTGTTTTTCCCCTCTTCTTCCAGTTTTCATGTCCTTTTTCCCATTTTCTTTAAGGTAATTTGACTTTTTCATATCAATTTTTTTGTTGATGGACTTCTATTTTATTCATTTATTTATATGTGGTGCTGAGAATTGAATTCAGTGCCTCACACATGCTAGGTGAACACTCTACCTCTGAGCCACAACCCCAGTCCCTCATAGCAATTTTTGGAAGGCCCTTTGCACATTGGTGATATTAACACTCTGTCAGTTACGTTGAAATAGTTTTTCCCAACCCTGCCTGTACTTTGCATTTATAGGTATCTTTTAATAAATAATTATAAAAAATGTAGTTTCTGATCAGAAATGTCTAAGCTTTCCTTTATGACTTCTCTAATTCCATCTTGCATGGTTCACCTTCTCTATTCTAGATAGTTCTTTCTAGAAAGATAGTCTTAACATTTATTTCAATGATTGTTTTGGCTTTCTCCACTGAAACCTTTAATCTAATTGGAATATACTCTGTTGCATAGTATGAAATATGAGATCAAACTTTGTTTTTTGTGTCAAATATATACAAATCCAGACTCAGTTAGGAAGAAACTTTCACTAGAATGAGATTTTTGCAATAGGGAGACCATTCCCATCTCACAAATCTGCAAGCATTTCAAAACCAAACTGAAAAGGGCTTTTGAAAAATAGGGTAAGGGGAGGTAAACAGAGATACATCAAATCAGTGGAGAGGAGGTTGTACAAATAGGGGAAGTGACCAGTGGAATCTTACCATATATGGAATACGAACATAATCTGGAAAATATCTCTCTAATCTATTTCATTTCAAAGGATTTTTATTCTTGAAATTTTATTTTCTGGGAAGTCTCTGAAGTTTAAAATCATTTTATCACATTTCAAAGTGAATGCTAATCCCCACCCCACCGCCCCCCCCTCAAAAAAACAACAAAATGAAACTATTGTAATTCTGATTGGAGTTATATAACTTCAATATATTAGTTTGGGGAGATTTAATATTTTCATTACATTAAGCCTTTGTATCTACATTTGGTGTCTCTGATTATATCATATGACTCAATGATATTTTTGTATAAATCTGTCATCTCATGTTTAAATTTATTTTTAGGTATTTATAATATCTTTTGTCATAGTTAAGACTTATTTTTGCTGATCCCATCTGCTTATTGGTATAGAGGAAAAAAGCATCATTTTTATAACATCTATCTAGTACTGATTCAAAACTACAAATTCTGGTAGCCTCTTAGTATAGTTTATTAGGTTATCTTTTGTGTGTATGTGATGCTGGAGATTGAACCTATGGTCTATGCAGGCTAGGCAAGAACTCTATCACTGAGCTATATCTCCAGCTTCTAGGTTTTCAAACTATATAATCATATCAGATATAGATAATATTCTTTCTCTATCTGATATTTGATAATATTATTTATTCTTTTTTTCATGGTATTAGCTGTCCAGTACAGTAGCCACTAAGGCTACTGTTAAAATTTAAGCTAAACAAAATTTAAAATTCAGGGCTGAGCATGGAACTCAATAGTAGAGCACTTGCCTAAGCATATACAAGACCCTAGGTTCAATCCTGAGCACCACAAAAAAACTTTTTTTAAATTCAGTGTCTCAGTCACCTAGGTACTTTTCAAGTGCTCAGTAGCCACATAAGGCCAATGGCTACTGTATTGGATGGTGCTATATATGAAACATTACCATCATTGCAGAAAGTTGTATGGAAAATGCAGAGAAAGAGTATACAAAATAATATTGGATAATAGATATGGTAGAAAACATCCCTCTTTTGTTTCCCATGTTAATGAAATTGATTTAAACCTTCTACCATTTAGTATGAAGTTTTCTGGAAATGTTTGGAAGATGGTATTGTCAACTTTTTGGGTTTTTTTTGGGGGGGGGTACTATAGTTGAACCCAGGGGTACTCTGCAACTAAACTACATCTCCAGCCCTTTTATTTATTTATTCATATTTATTTTTTTCTTTAGTACCAGGGTTTGAATCCCAGGGCACTTAACCACTGAGCTACATCCCCAGTTGCCACAGTCTGGCTGGGCACAAATGCCGCAGTCTGGCTGGGCACACAATCACGAGCCACCACACAGCTTGTAGATTCAAACAGCAACTCTTTATTCCCGAACTCACACCAGCCGTCTAAAAACACGTTCTGGGGAAATCCACGTTCTCTGCCCAAATCCACCTCCACTGGGCTTCTATCTCCCAAAAAATACTGTCTGAATCCCGTGAGAACTCAAGGGGAACTCAGGCAGCAGGATACGCCCTATTCCCAGCAGGAATAATCTTAAACCTGGAATGCCCTAAACCCAATTATCCTAAACCGGGAATACCCTAATCCACCCTGGTCCTTGAGCAAGGTCACATACATGCAATGTCACTGCAAAATGTCCTATTTCCACGAGTCCTTCCACTAAGCAACATGGGGTACGCTGGCAAGGAAATTGTCATACCTACTTGGCTAATGGCTCCCAGCACCCAGTCCTTTTTAATTTTTTTAATTTTAAGACAGGGTCTTGCCAAGTTTCCCAGGTTGATGTCAAATTAATCATCTTCCTGCTTCATCCTCCCAAGTAGCTGGGATTTACAGGTATGCACCACTGCACCTGGTGGCATTGTCAAGTTTAAATGGTTTCCTTCTGTTGCTATTTTATCTCCAGTTTTTATCATGCATACAATGGCTATTGAGTTTTATACTATATACTTTTAATATTAGTTATATTTTATATTGATTTATACTTTTTATACTAATTATAATTATATTTACATTAATTTATATTTTCATGTTAATTGATAGCATTGTGTGACATTTCTAAAGTATTTGTATAAGAAATCATTATATAAGAAATTATGTTGATTGACTTACACATATTAAAACATACTAGCATTCCTGGAATCATCTTAATATTTATGGTATATTATTCTCTTGAGGTGCATCTGTATTTTATTTGCTGCTATTCTATTTAGAATTTTTTCATCCATATTGTGAATGAGAAGAATCTTAAAATATGTGATATGTTTGGATCAGTCCAATGTGTCTTTGGGATTCATCTAAAGTGGCAATCCCTTTCTCCACTGAAATGTCTTAACTGGGCCTCTCCAGGAATCTTCACCCAGACTGATTTTAGGACTGTCATCAAAAGAGTCTCTGCAAAAGAGTTCAATGTAGACAAATTTCCTATTTTCTTGTCACCCTGTTGACTTGGCCACTGGCCGAAAAGATACCAGTATGGTTCCCTCACCACCACATGAATCTAATGACTTGAAAGACAGAGTAGCTGGTAAAGAAAAAGCTTTATAGGCAACAAACCTGCAGGTGGAAGATGGGGGATGGTCACTCAAATTTCATCTTGCTGGGGGTTACAGGTGCAAAAACTTATATGTGGTTTCTGGATAGTGTAGTTTTTGCCATAGCTAGGTAGCACCAGAATGGTTATTAATTTTGGGAGATATCAGTTCCCTTGATATGGTTTGGTTGTTATCCACAGATCACCAGAAATGCCTAGAAGCCTAAAGAAAGATTAACTCAGGAGGTTGTATGACTGGTGGTGTCTATTTTTTTTTCAGACAAAGTTGGACTTATCAGTTAATTATGTGGGGAGTGAGGCATAGAGAAGTAAGGCAAATCAGAAACAATGAAACACAGATTTGCTAGTGCTCAGAGCAAGTTAACCCACTCACTGGCTTCAATATTAGTGAAAGATTATCTCCATCTTCTTTTTATAGCAGTATATTTTAGTGTCTTTTATAAAATGAATTTGGATCTTTATCTACAGACTGTAAGAGTTTATATAGTGTAGACTCATTTAGTACTGATTAGTTTAGTAAAGAGTTCCTTAATTTACAACCGGTTAAGATATTTTGGTAATATATTAATTTTTCTGATTTTGTTGAATTTTAAAGCATGTCAACTAGCAAAACCCTCTCCTCATTTTTTGAATTATTGGGGAGTTTTAGGAAGCTTTTTTCATTGCTGAGACCAAAAGACCTAGCAAAAACAATGTAGAGGAGAGGAAGTTTGTTTGTGGCTCAAGATTTTAGAGCTCTCAGTCATAGGTGGCCAACTCCATTGCTCTGTATCTACATGAAGCAGAACATCATGACAGAAGAGTATGGTGGAAGAAAGCAGCTCAGGAAATGGCAATCAGGAAACAGAGCTCTACTCCCCAGGGACAAAATATAACCCCAAAGTCATGTACCCAATGTCCTACCTCCTCTAGCTACACCCTACCTGCCTATAGTTATCACCCAGTTAACCTCTCAGTGATTAATGCACTGATTAGATTAAGGCTCTTATAACCCAACCATTTCACTTCTAAACTTTCTTGCATTGTCTCCCACATGAGATTTTGGGGGATATGTGCTTTTATGTCATATATATATATATATATATATATATATATATATATATATATATATATATATATATATATATAAAAACAAGCTCCTCCTATCAGTGGAGGGAATTGAACCCAGGGGTGCTCTACCACTGAGCTGAATCCCCAGCCCTATTTATTTTTTTAAGACAGGGTCTCCTTAATTTCCCTAGGCTGGCCTTGAATTTACAATCCTCTTGCCTCAGCCTTCTGAATAGCTACCATCTACAAAACTCTACTTTTTTAAATGTATCAATTATTTTTCTAAAGGAAAATTAGACAATTGAATGCTTTTTTAATGCTGGAAGGGCATAAGAATAGAAATTACATAATTGGCTTATGAGTTACAAAAAATTTTATATCTGTTATCAGTAGCTTATTGATTATAATTTTAATGTTTTTTTTGTATCAGGATTGAACGTAGGGGCACTTTACCACTGTGCACAGGCCCCAAGCCATGACTCCTATTGGTCCACCCAAAAAAGATTCCCAAAGACTTGTAATTCCTCGATGATCCCAGGCTTGCAATTGATCATTCATCACCTTAGTGCCCTAATCAATAAACTCATGGACTGAATCAATGACTTTAGATACTTAGATCTCTAATTCTTATTAAATCTCAAAAATTTCTACAGAGGTCCCAATCACTTAACCATATATGTCTCCAATTGTTCCCTTCTAGGATTCTTCCCACTTGTCACTTACTACCCCCAAATGAACGGCAGATATAGGCCCTGGATTATCCAATTCTGTTGGATCCTAACTCATTGATCCCCCCCTACAGAAATCCCCCAATCTTTGACTCCCAGAAGAACCCAAACAACCAACCACAAATTTGGATTGGTGTTGAACTTTAATGATAAAAACTTAAAACACTTTCAGGCAGAAACAACATGTTATATGCAACAAAAGGGGATTACAGAGCTACTCGACTTTGTATTGGCAACACTAGAAGTCATTTTAGAAGAAAACATCTACAGATTATTGAGAACTGAGATCCAAGAATTTGAAACTCACTCTGGTTAGATATCATTCTTCTGTCAGAGCATAAGAAACACAATTTTAGACATAAAGCATTTACTATATAATATGCTTATTTTTCCTAACTCAGAATGCTCAAGAGAATAGTCTAACTAATTGTAAACAGAATAGTAACAGAATCTTCAAAATAGAAGGAAAGTAGTTTTGGAAAATGACTTGCAACTGACATATACTTATATCTGAATAAAGATGATGTCATAGAGTATTTATTTGTTTTTGCAGTGCTGAGGATTGAAGCCAGGGCTTGTGCATACTCAGCAAGTACTTTACTACTGAACTCTTGGGCTTAAGCAAGCCTCCTGCCTCAGTCTCCCAGGTAGCTGGAATACAGGTAAGTACCACCAGGCCTGGCTTGAGGGCTTTTGATATTGGTCTGGGGTATGGCCAAGGCAACTTTTTAAAATACTGATATGATACTGGCACAGGATCTGACTTCCTGAACAAGACTCCTAAAGCACAAGAAATAAAATAAAAAATAAATAAATGGGATAGCATCAAACTAAAGATTCTTCATAGCAAAAGAAACAATTAAGAGCATGAAGAAAGCCTATAGAATGGGAGAAAATCTTTGCCACCTGAACCTTAGATAGGGCATTAATTTCCAGAATATATAAAGAACTCAAAACACCACTGATAAAGTGGCACTTTACCACTGAAGCACATCCCCACCCCTTTTCATTTTTAGTTTAAAACAGGGTCAGTTTTCATCTTGTTTATCTTTAATTGTTTTATTAACATGATCTAACATTCTGAAAAAGGTATATTCTTGCAGTATAAATTAAGATGATAAGATTTTATTACATTTTCATGAATTTTTGCTGATGATTGCATAAAGGTTTATGTGTATTACATCTAATTCATCTAACGTATACTTTGTTACTATGCAATATGTATTTTTATCTGTTGGGTGCTTTTAGCCTTGGATTTCAGCTTGAACATTATATTACCAGACCTGCTTTTATTTTTCATGCATTTGCCTGATTACTTTTGCCTCTTTATTTTCAATATATTTCTAGTAAATGACACATAACTTTAATTTTTTTTACTTATTTAAAGCTTTATTCTTGCCTGCTCGCTGTGCGGCCGCTGGGTGCGGATTGGCCTGGATAGTGTACCTCAGTGCCTCATTGTCCCCCAGAATCTCCAGACAAGACTCAAGCCACAGGCAGCATGAAGATCTGGACCTTGGAGCACGTCTTCGGCCACCTATGGGAAAATGTTACAACAGCTGCAATGCATAAATACCCAAACCCTATGAACCCGAGTGTGGTTGGAGTTGATGTGCTTGACAGGCATGTAGATCCCTCTGGAAGGCTGCACAGCCACAGACTTCTTAGCACAGAGTGGGGACTGCCTTCCATCGTGAAGTCTCTTATTGGTTCAGCAAGAACCAAAACATATGTGCAAGAACATTCTGTAGTTGATCCTGTAGATCTGCTGGCAGCTGGAAGTTTGCTGGGGCCCCTTTGGCTGTGGCTCTCAACAACAATGGAGCTTAAATCGACTAATATTTCCTTTACAAATATGGTTTCAGGGGATGAGAGACTTATCTACAAACCACACCCTCAAGACCCAGAAAAGACTATTTTGACTCAGGAAGCCATCATCTCTGTGCAGGGAGTCAGCCTTAGCAGTTACCTGGAAGGACTGATGGCGACCATGATATCTTCTAATGCTAGTAAAGGCCGAGAAGCAATGGAATGGGTAATACATAAATTAAATGCTGAGATTGAAGAGTTGACAGCTTCAGCAAGAGGAACATAAGGACCAATGGTGGCAGCAGCATTTGTAGAAAAATGATAAAGTCAGTATAGAATATCAAATCCCCAGGTCTCTCCAAGCAGACAGTGTATTTATTTGTTACTTAAAAAGTAAAACTGTATTTTAGGTAGAATTTTTTTTCTAATAACCTGGAGTAAGGCTATGTGACTTTTGATCAAAACAAAAAGATACAGGGCTTCTAAAATCCAAGGGATCATCTGAGGTTATTATGGCTTGAAATGACTAATTTCTAGGGTTTTAGTATTTATGTGAAATTTAACAAAGTTTTTTTAAAGTACTCGGGAGAAATGGGTATTGACGTTGAGTCTTCTTAAAATAGAATTTTAACACTTTTCAGGCATTGGAACTGTACCTGACTTTGGACCAACCCCAGAGCCGAGCAAGCAGAGCCTCTCCTCATACATACACACTCACCTTGCTAATACAGACTAGCACAGCCTGCAAGGGGGGACTGACTCTAAAATGAGAATTTGTATAGTTTTAAAAGACATTAAATTGTATAAAATAACTTGCTCTGCTAAAAACCACAGTGTTTTGATTTGGTATTTAAATGATATTTTTAGAGTAAAAATCATCACTAAGTCTATATGACTTCAACATAAATAATATTTTATTGTATTATAGAGTACTGTGCTGATTTGCCAAAGTTTTGTAACTTAGTAAAGGTATTACCTTCCTTGGACTTGTACTTTATGATTTAGCATGCTGTACCGTGGGCTGGTTATGTTAACTAAAAAAATAAAGTCATTACCTGAGTTTCGCAGCACTCTTAAATAGAACACTTATACAGAACAGCTGTTCACATCTTTTATCATTTCACATTTTCATAACATAAATTGCCATGTGTCAAAATCATGATTTTGTAATTGCTAAGGCTTGATGTGTCAGGTTATTTGAATATAATTACTTTTTGAGGTAATTGTGACCACAAAACATCTTTTTTACATGAAGAGCTATACATCATTTGAAATTACTCAAATGATGTCTTGATGTGAAGCATAAATCCCAGGAACTTAATGTTTTTAATAATATGGTGCCACTGTGGGGGCGTTTGGGGAGAAAAAAGAATAATGGAAGGTGGGGACAGAGTGGCCCAAACTAACCACTGAGCCAATTGCACTGCAGGTTTTATTAATGGAATGTCCTTATTTTTGATGCCAGAGGGTGGCTGAAAAGTGAAAAACAATCCAATAAATGTATTTTGTTTAATATTTTGTAGCAGGAAGTTTTAATCACTAAATGATATCTTTGATACTTGCAATTGTTGCATACAAAATATTTTTGTTAAAAGGTGATGAGCTCTTGCCTTTATTTTACAGTGCTTAATGAGATCATCTTCTAAAAAAGACAGTTAATATGTGTACATAAAACGACAGAAAGATACCAAACTTTTTAAAATTATGTTTTTCTATTGAAAATACTATTTAGCTAAAGAATTCTTAGGATATTTGTAAAAGCAAGTTAAATCTGATAAGGTTTCTGATTATGTTGTTTGGTAACCGGAGATGGTTTTTACAACTGAAATAATATTTCAGCTAAAGAAAACATTGCTAAATATTAATGTTTCACAAAAAGTGACTTGTATAATCTGTTATACTTTTTCTGAAAAAAGTTGTAATATCCTAATTAAAAACAATTTTTTAAATCTTTTTTTTTTTTAAAAAAAAAAGCTTTATTCTTTCATTAGCAACCTTGGAAAGAGAAATTCATATCAGGACTCAGAGCAAGAAAGAGACCCCAAAACATCTAGGTTTTCCTTAATTCCTTTGGCTGTAGAAGTTGTAGAAGAATTTAAACCAAGCCAGACCCATTCCATCTCTGGTCACAACCTCATCTCTATATCCTGGTCCTGGTCACTTTGGCTGGAAATTGGCTTCACTTCACCCAAAGACCTAGTTCAAGGGCATTCTTAGCTTCCTCGAGTTTGAGCATTCTCTCCTGCTACTGGTGGTGCCACTCAGCCATGGACTGAAGCATCGACTTGGTATGGAGCTAAAACAAGTAGGAGCCATAAACCATGACCTTGGTGAGATCTGAAGATTCCAGAGCCTTCAGTTGCAAGCATGGCCTTGCTTATGCTCAATGTAAGGGATGTGAGATCTGTGTGGGCTGAACAGGGCTTCCAGTAGTCACATCTGGACTCTAACACCTCTGGGTCTTTCAGGTCTTTGGGAACTTTCACCCATGGTGGGATATCTCTACCATCTAGGAGCTTATCCATCTTGAGTCCCTGGAAACCAGCTACTCTCCAGTGGAGGAGAGTCCTACTGTCATAGGAAAGCAGGGAGCTGAAACTCCAAACCTCAGTTCTTGTGTTCCAATGAAAGAAAATTTAAAGTCAGACACAAAAAGCCATGCAAAATAATTTTATTATAAGTGAAAGTGAGGTAAAAGTAAAGTAAAAGCAAACTGAGTCTTAAGCAGAGAGCACTCTCAAAAGAGAGAATGGGCCAAATCTGAGCAGAGAATGACAAAGGAGATAATGCTATCTCCAAATTTGTTACTGTTTAATGTTTGCCAGGAGAACTGGGGACCATCTTCTGTACTCTTTGCCAATCAGGTGTTCAACTCCTCCTTCACATTGGGTGGTGGAGTTTTTGACCTTAGTTGGTTGTCTCCGGAATGATCATAGTGGCCATCCTATTTAGTGGGGCTTCATTTACAAATCAATCTCATGTTAATGTGGGCATTGGGGTCAATAGCTTGTCAGAAGTTACCTTAGTGTGCTGCGCTGCTAAAGGAATCTTCCTTCCCAGACAAATGGAGACACCTATAGTCTGTGGGGAGCCATTCTCACACGTGACTGGGCAACTCCCGGTTTGGGTCTGAGGCTCTCTGGCTAAACTGTGTCGGAGCTTTCCCGGCCCTCTCCTGGTGCAAGAGCCTGTCCGTGTGGGGGTGTGACTGACCACTGACCCTGACCTTGGAGTGCGGCCCCCCTCAACCTTCATTGGATGGAGTTCTCCCCTGAATTTCTTGTTCCCCAATAAAAGGCTACTCCCTGGTGTGCTCCCTCTCTCTCTCTCCTGCGGCTGAGTAATCCTTGCTGCCCTACCGGGTGGTTCGAGGTGGGAACCAGAGGGGGAGCTGTCTCGGACCTGGTCATAGAAAAAGGTAACTGAGTCTGTGTGTTTTATTTCGATCTCACTAGCTAACTTTTATGCCAAGAACCTCTTTAATGAAACCAGTGCGCTGGTCGCATGGTGGAATTTGGCGCCCAACGTGGGGCATTCTAGATTAGCTAGATTGAGTGGGAGCGTGCTATAAAGATAAAGGAAGTGGTGACAATTTAGAGTCACAAAAGTACCTGGAGATATTGAAGGAAAGAGACGTTAAATTAATTAAAATGGGAAATTCAACTTCTATGGATAAGGAAATGTATCTATTTTAGACAGTATAATTAATCAGAAAGGAAAACAGATAAAGAAAACTCAGTTATTACAATTCTTAAAGATTGTAGGCGAATATTGTCCTTGGTTTTGTGAACAAGAGTCTCCAAATTTACTTACTTGGGAGAAACTAGGAAGGAAGTTACAAAAAGTTTGTCTTTCTAATGAATTACCTGCAGGCATAGAGAATATTCAGAAAACTTGGACGGCTCTGGAAGTTTGTCTTTTTGAATATATGGGCCAGAGTTCGTGGCCCCCTGAAGATCTATTAAAAGGCATTCAGAGAGCTATTAGGTCTATTCAAATGGAAAATCCGCCTGAGGCTAAGTTAATTCCCTTTCCCTTGAGCCGTTTAAAAACAAAGTCTCTAGGGGCTAAACTGAAGGTTAATAATGTGACTTTAAACTTGCAGGATCAGGCTAGCCCGCAGGGAGATTATAGAGAGGAACATCATAGAGGAAAAACCTCCGCAGTCCTAGAAAGTCCTCCGGAAGAGGTAGAGGATCTTCCTGGGGAGGAAAATCCAGAAGAGATTCTTAGAGGGGCACAGAGTTCTTCTCCACCACGTGGCTTAGAAGCCCAATTTCAAAATGGCGACAGTGCAGAGTCTACCCACGACTCGCAGTCTGAGGAAGAAGAATCAGACATTGAAATCCAGGACTTACAGAGAAATTTTAACAGGCTGCGTTTAACACCGCCTGCCCAGGCTATTCAAATTCGGCCATTACCTGCTAAAAGGACAAAATTTAACAGGTACTCTGAATTAACAATGACTTTTCTTACCCCGTTCCAGCGAGGTATTAAGAAAGCACAGGAAGCTGGGGAAAATACTGGCGGTTTTCAACTTTTTCCAGTTTTTGAGCAAGTTAATGAGCAAGATCAGAGAGTTAGAGTTCATGCTGTAATCCCATTTAAAACCATTAAGGAACTAAAAAGTGCGTGTGAGACGTATGGTCCGAATTTGCCTTTTGTACAGAGCCTGATAGAAAATATTTGCTCGCAGCCCCTTCCTCCTAGTGATTGGATTTCTTTAGCTAGATCTTGCTTGAATGGAGGAAATTTCTTACTTTGGCATACTTATTGGACTGATTTTTGTACTGAACAGGCAGAAAGAAATAGAAGACAAAATTTAGAGACGCCAATAGAAATGTTTTTAGGAACAGGTGGATTTGCTGATTTAGAAAGACAGTTAAATTATGAATTTGTAGTATACAATCAAATAACTGATTGTGCGAAACGTGCCTGGAAGCAGATTATCTCTAAAGACCAATCCAATTTAGTTCTTACCAAAATCAGGCAGGGTGCAAGTGAACCGTACTCAGATTTCGTAGCCCGATTGTACCAGGCCGCAAACAGGTCTATCGGGGACCCAGGGGAGTGTGAGTTTGTCAGGACGTTCTTAGGCTGCACCGTAAAAAAGGGATGGTTTCTAAGTTTATCCGCTTATGTTCTGAGATAGACTCTACTCATTTACAGACTGTAGCCCTAGCTGCGGCACTAAAAGAAACATTAAGGCCGCAAGATTTAGTAAGAAAGCCCCGCGGGAGATGCTATGTTTGCGGGAAAAGTAACCATTTTGCACGCGAATGTCGCCCGCGCAATTTTAAGTTCAGGGCTCCATCTACTGTTGATAATAGATATTGCAGGACTCAACCCCATGTGGCGGATCAAGATGGCGCGGATCAGCCTGCCTTCTTGCTGTCATTTCCTCCTAGCGGGAGGACAAAAAACTTCCAGTCGGCCCCTCCCCGGGCCGAGCAACAATATGGGGAATTCGAGGAGAGGTCGCACAGTGTGACGTCACTGGCACCGACCAGGACAGCCCGCGATTTTTACCGGAATGTAGATCGCAGACAGTTTTCTTAGGACCTTCAACGACAGTTGAATTGAATCCTGAATCAGGGCCAAAACAAATCTCTACTGGGATTTTCAGGCTGCTTCCTGATAATACTATAGGTTTAATTTGGGGACGTAATAATTTAAAGGGAGACATTGAGGTGATACCTGGTGTGATAGATTCAAATTTTAAAGGACAATTAAATGTTACTGTAAGGTCCAATTATGTCCTAAGGCTCACTCCAAAGGATACATTTGCCCAATTGATTTTATTGCCCTGTGATGCGGGGAGACACCCACCAGTAAATTCAGTTTCTAAACTGCTGGACAGAGTGTACTGGTCGCAGTTAGTGCGATAAGAACGCCCTTTATTGGAACTTAAAATTAATAATAAAAAATTCCTAGGAATCGTAGACACAGGAGCTGATAGCTCTGTCTTTTCTAGTAAATTCTGGCCTAGGAATTGGCCCTTACATGTAGCACCAGCTAACCTAGAGGGAATAGGACAGGTTTCACAGCCCGCTCAAAGTGCCAACTATCTCCGTTGGGAAGATTCCGATGGGAACAGTGGAGTATTTAAGCCTTATGTGTTAGAGTCTTTACCAGCTAACCTATGGGGAAGGGATATTTTAGCCAAAATGGGATTGTTATTAGTTACTCCAAATTCTATAAGGTCAGTTGAGGAAGTTAATCAGAGGTATTTTCCTGGAGATGATAAGAAGACCCTTCAGGAAGAGTATCTGTTTACAAACCAGTCTCCACGACAAAGATTAGTAAATGCTCCAAGCCAAAATTTTTACTAGGGGCCCTGAGTACTTCCCCGAACCCTAAGACAGCTGAAAAAAATCACCTGGCTCACAGAGGAGCCTATATGGATTTCTCAGTGGCCCATCTCAGGGGAAAAGCTTAAAATAATTCATAGGTTAATTGAGGAACAACTTCAGGCTGGTCATATAGAACCAACATTTAGTCCTTGGAACACAC